GTATGGGGGCGGCGGCGGTGGCGGGCATGATGCTGCCACCGGGGTGCCGCGACCCCGCAGATCCAGATGCGGCGGACGAGGAGCAGCAGCGGCGCAAAGCCGGGGACGCCGCGGCCGCCGCCGCCGCCGCGGCGGGGGGAGTGCAGGGGGACGTGGCCGTGCCGCTCATCACATGCGCCCCCGACTCTGCCCTACTAGATGTGAGCCATGCATCAGCCAGCAGTTTTGGGGCTGGGGTGCACCGAACAACACAACTTGGGGGCCGGAAATGTGGGGCTTGTGACGAATCCGACCCTCCCAAGCTGTCCCGCGACGCATCTCCAGCGCCGCGGTGCCGCGGCCCACGCGCCGCACCCCATCCCAGCCCAACCACCAGCCAACCGTCGTCCGTGTTCCGTTCTCTCCGCTTATGAAAAGCAGCCTCCCAAATCTGACGCCGAACAGGCCCTCGAAAACATCAAACCCAAAGCCGCCCCAACCCCCAAAGTCCTGACGCTCATGAACAACAATCAAGTACACCTAAATCCGCGAAACCCGAATCCCCCTCAAACCGCACCCCCTTGATTCTAAACCCTGAATCCGAAACCTCCCTCACCTGCCCCCAGGTCCTGGGGCTCATGATCGACAATGATGTGCACCGCGTGTACGTATACGTTCCCGAGGCAAAGCCCGCCGTCGTCGGCGTCGTCACCCCGACAGACATCCTCCGCCTATTCCTGCGCCTCGGCCTTGGCGCCAGCAGCACTTGCGGCGGCGGCGCCGGCCGCGTCGTGGGGGTGGGGCCGGCGGGGGTCGCTGGGGTCGCGGGCGTGCTGGCGCGGCCGGCGGGGGCGCCGGCGCACCTGAAGAAGGCGCGGGTCGACGCGGCGGCGTGATCTGGCGCGAGATCTGAGGCCGTGATCTGCGCCGTGATCTGGCACCGCGACCTGACCAGGGTGGTTTGATGAGTTTGACGGTTTGTCATGTATTAGGAGGGGCATGATATACATATGCTGGGAGTCGGCTGCAGGAGCGCAGCTCGACGGCTGCTGGGCTGATGTCGGCGGGCCGGCGGGTGCGGACCCGCTGACCTGGCAGCGGCAGTTGCACGGCCCGATCCCTGGGCCCCAGCGGCCGCCCGCAGCGCGGCGCCATCGCGCAGCCGGCCGCCAGGCCGGATGCAAAGCGGCCGAATGGGGCTACGGCCCATAGCCCCATGGGGTGGGCGATAGGGCGCAGGCGCGTCAGGCGTGCCTCGCGCTCCGTTTGGCCCGGGGAACTTGCGACGCGCCGTGCTGCCGTCTCCCAAGGTGTTTGAGGCCGTCGGTCAAAGCTTGTGCACGCCTCACCCGCGCTAGTGCGCTGATTGTGATTGCGACCAAGGAACCGCCCGCCAGGCGCCCCCACATCCACTAAGGGCCACGGGTTGTATATGTATTCAGATGCAGGGGTGTCTTGTGGTTACGAGTTACTCTCAAGAGTGAGTGAATATAATCTGGAAACACCGCCGTCAGGCGACAAAAACGGACAGTGCCGTGCAAATGGAGGCGCAGTGCGACGCGCCAAGCGGCCGCCGCAGTGGGCGCTGGTCGGCTGCCGCCGCAGGGGCCGCGCCAAGGCCGGGAGGTGGCAGGTCAAAGTCAACGCGAAGGCTTCCGAGTCAAACGTGCCGCCTCAGATCAACAAAGAGGTTTGAAAGCTCGCCGGCAGCGGCGCTGGCCCCTCAGGCAGGCTTGCGTCTGCATTATTTTAGGGGATCTAGCCATCACCATCACCATCATGTGTGTGGCGGCCCCACAAGCAAGTGCAGGGGCTGCCCGTGTGCGCCTATGGGGCAGCTGCGAGCAAGCAAGGGGAGCTGCGATTCCCAAAAAACAGCCGCCGCCAAGTGCAAAGATATAAGCTGGCGTTTTGATCGTCGTCACGCTGGGATCGTGCTCCCTGCAAAAGCGGGGGCCCCTGAGCCGCGCACGCAGAGAGCGGTCGTGCCAAACGGCGGGCGTCGGGCCACAAGTCGCGGGCCATCAACGCGAGCGAGGAGCGGGTCGCTGATGATATCAGCAGCAGGTGGGCGCGGCAGCGGCGCTGGGCGGCCGCAGCGGCCGTCGCAGGAACGACTGAGGGCGCGGAAAGGCGCGAGCCGCACACCCCTGGAGAGAGCGCTGCGGCGGATGAGGTGATCCCGTGCTGATCACAGCATCTCAGATCGGATCTGATGTGCTCTGGTAGGGAGACGCATAGGGGCCCTCAGAGCTTGTGGCCCGCGCGCTCGGCCGCCGCCTGCGCCGCCAGGTAGCGGCGGTAGCGCTCTATCTGGCGCGAGAGTGACTGGTAGCGGTCCAGGCTGAAGCCTCGCTCCTCCATCTTCTTGCGCTGCGGGGCGGGGGTTGGTTTTGATTGAAATAAATGAGTGTATTTGTTTGTATGTGTGTGTGTGTGTGTGTGTGTGTGTGTGTGTGTGTGTGCCTGCGCGCACATGCGTGTAGAGGTAAACCAACAAAGTTTGCCGACGTGCAGGCCATGCAGGTTGTGGTGTGGACACGTGCTCATGCTCCGTTCCTCTTGCGGAGCGGTGGGGGTCGCCCACAGGGGGCCCCTTGGCTTGTGAGGGCGTGGCGCCGGGGCACACGCTGGGTTCTGTTTGCACGCGGGGTGCGGCTGCCCACCAGCTGCTGCCCAGTCCAGAACTTCATGAATGGCCCGTAGTCCAGCTCTGTGCCCTTTGATATGAAATATACGTACGCCAGCCAGCTGCGTAGCAACGTGTATGCGTGTGCGCGTGTGAGTGTGCGTGTTTGTGTGCATATGTGTGCGAATGTGTGTGGGGAGAGGGGGGTCGGAAAATTTTCCGGGAGGAGTGCGAGGGTCTATCACCAGAGAGGATAGGCCAACGCGCACTTTCATCAAATGACCTATCTGCATCTTCCCTGTGACGCATACTCACATTCACGTGCGCGCGCGCGCGCGCACACACACACACACACACACACACGATCACTCTATCTCTCTGTTACTCTCTTTCGTACAACTACACCCTCAATCACACGCACACTGCACACTGCACACATACGGATCCACGCCCCCCCACCTGTATGTGAGGCTGAGCATGTAGGCAATGGGCTCCATGACGTCCCAGCTGAGCTCCCAGTATGTCAGGTACACAAAACCCACCAGCTGACCCAGCAGGCCCACACAGCCGACCTGGAGGGATGGGGAGAGGGTGAATGTGCAAGAGAGAGTATGAGACAGTTGTGTGTGTGTGTGTGTGTGTGTTGGGGGGGGGGGTAACATTTGGCTGTGAATGGGTGTTTGTGTGCGTGTGAGAGTACGCCTCCAATGGCTGCGCATCACAGACGTGTGTCAGGAGTCGGCGCCCGGCTATGCATTCAGACAAGGCAGCTTTCACCTGCCTCTCGCCGCCCCTTTTTCCGCTGTTGCAGCGTCGAGCACCCTCTTCTCCCCCCAAACAAAAAATAAACGAACCAACCAATGCCGCGCACTGACATTGAGCCAAAACCGCGGCCACCGCGTCGCTGCCCGCTGGATGGCCCTGTGCTGCGCGTCCATCTCCGCCAGCTTCCGCTCGGCTTCCTCCAGCCGCTGACGCGCCTCTGCCGGGTCTGTCGGCACCACCTGGCGCCGGAAGGCGGGCGGGCACCAGGGCGGCCGCGCGGCTTCTGGCGGGACACCTGCTTCCTGTAGCTGCTGCTGGCCGCGGCGCCCGCCCCGCGGCGCTTTGCAGGGGCCCGCCCCTTCCTTGCCACCCCCGACCCTGTCCGCAGCCGGCAGCGGCGGCGCCCGCACGGCGATCGCGTGCTCCCCGCCGCCTGGCCGGCCCTGGACCCCGAAACCCGGCTGGCACTGAGCAGCTCCGCCCACCCAGCCGCGGCGGGCGCGCCCTTCGCCACCTGACCGCCCCAAAACCCTCAAAACCGGCCGGCAGCGAGCGGCTCGGCTCGGCCAAACAGCCGCGGCGCAGGCGCGTGCGCATACGCACCCGATACACCATCTCCGCAATCTCCTCTGGTCGCAGGTACACGACGCTGTTGAGCCGCAGCACCACGCCCGCCCGCATGAGCGCGTTGGCGCGCTCCTCAGCCTCCGCGTCGCTGTCGGCCGCGTTGCTGGGGGTTGGGAGTGTGTGTATGTGTGTGTGCATGTGCGTGTATTTAGGGGGCGGCGCGCAGGGCAAGGGGGCGCGTTAGGGTTGGTGCGGCGGGTTGTATGGCAATGAGTCGGGGTTTGGAGGCGCGAGGCGCGCGTGACAGGCGGCGGTGGTGGGCAGACCTCGCCGCAGTGCAGCAATGCAGGCAGCGCGCCGGGCCGCGGGGCACCCGCCGGCACCGCCGGGCGCAGACAGTCCGGCCTCGCGCCCCTGCGACCCAGAGCTGTGGCCGGTTGTGCAGCCCGCGACGGCGGTGCTGCCGCTGCCCGCAAGTGCCTTGGCCTGCCGCCGGCGGAAAAGCTCAGCTGCGCCGGACGCATGCGGCCGCGGCCCTGGCTCCCTTAGTGGTCCCCGTGCCCCACAATCGCGCCGCATTTGCTGCACAGAGCCGCACAGCGGTTCCGATCTCAGGTTTCGGGGCTCGGAATCTCGGGAGGCACCTGTTCTTGATGAATTGGATGAGATCTGGGTATGACATGTAGGGCTGCTCCTCTGATAGGGTCAAGAGCTCGTCCCTCAGTTTGGCGGCCTGGAGGCTCTGGGAATTTGCACAGGGATGAGCGGGGCAACAGTGGGTAAATCGGGTCAAAGAGGGTGCCTTCATAGAGCAGCCCAGTGTGGGGG